GAAACGGTGACTTTACATATGTAGTCTCCTCATGACCAGTATCATCCATATTTTGAAAACTGAATTCATCTTAAGGAAATACTACAGAAGCAGTTCTATCAAACCACGTAAAGCCACTTGTGGTGTCAGGCTGTGCTTGCAAGCACGTATTCCTTGACGATTAAGTGTCAATTTATTCTCTAGAGCTACAACATTCCCACACATACAGACACATTCCTGCTACTGATCTGTTTGGTCAAGTTGTGTTTTGTGCTGGAGAGAACCACACTCTATTTTTAAATTAAGCGGGAACAAAAATATCCTTCACTTTCAAACTTGTTTGCCTTGCAACTGATCCCTCAAAAACTATAAAACTGACATTATAAATGAAACCAAAAATGCCCTTATTGTGACCATACTTACTCTTCATGACAAGGGAATTGACCTGAGCAGCATGTCAAGTAATTTACATTTCAGACTAGCAGCAATACACAAATGGAAAGATACTGGTTTTGATTACACAATGTAACAGCGCTAATTCAACAGACCAACTAAACACTTCCCCATGAAGAGGCTTGAGTCACTTTTGCTTAAGTAAGCAGTGAGGGGAAAAAGCCAAGAACTCAGACATAAATCATAACTCTCCAGAATATGCCACCAACGTAAAGAAAACTTTGAGAAATAATCTGTTAGTTTAGATCCTCGACAGAAATGCATTTCACACAAAACCTCCCTGGTTCAGACAACCATGGTGGTTGTTCCACCATACCTTTACGCTGCAATTTACAGCGTCAAATGCTGATGATAAAGATCACAACTGTTTTACTTTTTCTTGTTTTAATTAGAAATGCATTTTACAGTCAAAGTTGCAATGATCTTGCCCAACCCCACTGCACATCGCAGAGAGAAGCAATGTCACATTCACCACTGTGGTCTACTGCCACAGCCTAAATGTTCCCTCCACCTAAGGAAAGAAAGAAAAGCCTGGCCAAAAAATTAAAAAAACAAATCCACTGTAGAGGTTTTATTTTGGAACAGAGACTGGTATTGTGCAGTCTCTAAACCAGGTGCTATGAAGAACTCAGACTGCCAACTTTGGGTGTCTTCAAGGACAAGTATTTTCAAGGGAAAAATACATGATGGAAGAACGACTTTGCTGCTTTGCATCTCCATAGCCATGTTCGCTTACTTTTAACTAATTTCCAAACACACACACACACACCACTACGCACTGTTTCATTCGTTATTCACCATTTATTTCAAAGCTGGAGCCTAAAGGTATCTACACGAGTGATCATTACCCATCTGAAGTGGTGTACACTGATGCTACACGCATTCCTAAACACTCCCCGGCAGTGGGGCTGATGGTGCCCCCAGGTCACGGGTAACCCAGACCTTGTCCTCTGCTGGGTCTGGTCCCGAGCACATCACTCTCTGCCTTTACCCTTCACCTGTAAGAGCCAGGTGGCAGCTTTTTTGTACAGTCCTCACAAAAAAGGGCACAAAACTCCCAAGAGACCTAGAGGACGCTTCTCCCCAACACAGGTTTATGTAGCGGTTTTAGATACTGCGGTGACAAGATGGGGCAAAAGTAGCATCAGCAGAGAAGCAAGAAAGAGAAACTCAGGCAGAGGGACAGAGGCAGGCACAGAGTGCCGTACTGACGGCCTCTCCTCCACCGAGCAGGCCAAATCTTTCAGTACTTCTAATAAGTACGTCAAGACAGTTGAATGACCAAATTCCCTTGTTTGTGCAAGGTGCCTCAGAGGGAAAGGCCTGTCGATCACTCCCCGTCACAGCGACCGTTTTGGCTGAGCCCAAAAAAGTCAACGGAAACGGCAACAGTACACGCTGTATCTCCAAGTGAGTCCTTGCACAGCTAGACCAGTCAGCAATTACTGCTCGAAGCATCTGCGACCAGCGTTTGACAGATGCCGGGGTGGAGGAAAGCGCTCCCGCAGCCTGCCGGGCTGCCCGCACCTCCCAGCCGGGCTGGCTCTGGAAAGCCACCCACGCTGCTGGGGCCCCCCCTGCAACAAACCCCCTCCCGACCCACCCTCCCACCAGCCACCTTTCAGGAGCACAGACAGACAGCAACCAACCACGGGGCCCACCTCGAAGCCTGCCCGTTTGCCACCGCCACCATCTGCGGCCCCAACACCTCAGTGCAGCCACGCTCCAGCCGGCCAAGGCCCCGCAGCCGCTCTGGGGAACAGACTCAAAGGCAGAAAAGCCATTTCCCGTGCAAGCGGCTGATGAATAAAACGTTTTAGGTGGGAACTGCATTTACGTCTGTTGCCAAGACCAGTGTCCGCTTCTAGTGCGATGACAAATGTCTTTTCCACTCACTCTCCGTGCGTCCTGGACTGCATTACGTGATAGCAACATGCATGCAGCAAGTACGGTGCAACGGAAATATTTTTGCTGTTGTCTTAACACAGAAACTTTTGTATCTTCACCATACAGGAGTCAGTGTTTCAGAGCTCAACAGTGCTCTTAGCGATTGCTTGAAGCACAAAGCTGAGGCAAAGGAGCACAGGAGGGATTTCTGCAAACACGGTTTGCCGCAGGGCCGCGCTGACTGCTCATTGCTCAAGTAACCACTGCTGTGCAACAGGCAGTTCTCTCGCTATAACTTTTCCAAGCCCTTTCGAATAAAGCGGTAGTCCCATTAAGAAATAAAGATGCAGCTCAGCCATCAGTTCCAGACACTCTTGTTACAGCTTATTTCTGAAGCAAGCAACACTAATGGACCGCTTTAAAATCTGACAGGGCGTCCTTGCATGCTGCTTTACACCAAGCTGTACAAGTACTGAGAGACTAGAAATTAAAAACCAGATTTTTAGAACCAGAGGCACACTAAGGTCTGCCTCTCCTCAAGCAATACAGCACAGACTCAGGGAAAACATTGAAGGGTTAGAACTGGAATAAAAACAAGTAACACAGCAGGCAGTATTTGGGGTCATGAAACTACTCAAGGCGTGGTTTCAACTCAGCAGGCTGCTACAATTCAGGCTGCTAATGTTTAAATTAAAAAGAATTAAGATTTTCCTCTGTGAACACCTATACACAAATGTATTGGTGCTTTCTGGCACTATCATTCCTGTAGCATCATTTTCATTATTTATATAGATGCAGCAGTCTATTTTTGGTTTGCTGAATCATACAGTGCTGTCTGGACTACGCACTCTTTGCTTTTCACACCTTTGAACACCAGCAGGATTAAAGAAAAATTCTTACCATGCCAGCTATTAGCTTGACATCCTACAACTCAAGTACGTAGTTAAAAAAAGCATTATCTGAACAGATATTTTTGAGAAAATATAACTGTGATTGCAATAAATGATTTCCAAAGGAGCTTGACTTACAATCTCATTGCCCTGATGACAGGCATAGGAGCTCAACTTTTTCCTCAAAACATGCGCCCATAGGCTGCACCTCTGAGGGACAGTGAAAGCTGAACAGCAATGCTCACGCGCCCCTGACAGACTGCAAGCTACACTGCACACCACAACCTTCAGAGAAATCCTCTGAACAACTAAAAACAGCAAAGCATTAAGAAAACTGGGAAGGAGAAGCTCATTGAGTTGAGTCTGGTATTCATCAACACCTTTTTTTAAAAATAAAAAAAAAAATTTATACTAGTTATCAACCAAGTCAGCAGTTTTTCTATCAAAACTAGAACTTGCTGACAAAACTTGCTTCTCAAAAAAAAAGGAGTTTCCTTCTGCCCACCAGAAGTAAATTAAGCTAGATATTAAAAATAGTTTGATTACACTCGAGTAAACAAGCCAAGAAATGAAACTATTTTGGATTTCATGTGGTAACAATCTAGTGGGATGAAATACCTTTGTATGCCTAGAATCAACATCAGAAGTACGGATTCTAAAACAGTAATAGAGCAAGAAATATGTTTTGGCATATAGTTGGACATACATGTGCTTGGACACCTCTCTCTGAGGGAATTTCCTGTATACATTCTTTTATTTTACATGCTGAAGATAAAATTTCTTTCTATTTTCTGGCTCCTTGAAGCTAAAGTGACTGCAAAACGCAACGAGCAAAAAGCATGCAAGCCTCCGAGGGACGGGAAGGGGCATTTAAGTCTCCAGCTGACTTTTGCATGAAGTTGGAAACTTTATCAGCCGTTGCTACAGTTTAGAGAAGCAGCAAATGACGCTATGCTTTTCCCAGCCTTGGAAAAACATGTTCATCAACACCTTGTTTCAGGAAAAGGGAAGAAAGGGGGGGGGAGGGGAGGAGAAAGTCAGGGAGACTCACTTCCCATTAAGGAATCTTCTTCTTTCTCAATGGGGGGGTTATGCATCTATTTCGGTATGACTCACTCCGGCGGGTTAAAGCCCTTTCAGCCAAGCGGCTCCTCCCGAGAGCAACCTGGGGAGCCCTGCCCCGGCCGGCACCGCAGCCCCCTCCCGCACCGCCGAGCCCGCTCCGGCGCCCAGAGCGGCATTTTAAAGTGCGGAGCGTGGGAGGGGGCGGGGGGGG